TTGGCAGAAAGCAGAGAATACCAGAGGAATGTCTATTTGTGCTTCATTGACTATGCAAAGGCTTTTGACGATGTGGATCACAACAGGCTATGGCTGACTCTGAGAAGAATGGGAATCCCAGAACATTTGATCGTGCTAATGTGAAACCTACACTTGGACCAGGAGGCAGTCATCAGAACAGAGCAGGGAGACACTGGATGGTTCAAAATCAAGAAAGGGGTCTGACAGGGATGTATTTTGTCTCCATGCCTTTTCAATCTGTATGCAGAACAGAACATCTGAGACAATGGGCTGTACGAGGAGGAATGTGGCATCAGGATTGGTGGAAGAATCGTCAACAACTTGTGTTATGCAGGAGACACAACCCTGCTCGCTGAAACTGAGGAGGACCAGAAGCGCTTGCTGCAGAAGGTCAGGGACTGCAGTCTTCAATGTGAATTGAAGCTCAATATCAAGAAAACAAAGATTCTCACTGGGCCGATTGGCAGCATCAGTATGGATGGTGAAGAGATTGAGATAGTTAACAGTTTTTGTTTACTTGGCTCCACAGTCAACAACACAACAGAGACTTGATGGTACATATCAACAACAACAATAACAACAGTGTTAAAAAAGATGATTTGTATTGGGGAAATCTGCTGTGAAAGATTGTTCTAAAGTGCTAAAGACAACGGCATCAATTTAAAGACTAACTTGTGCCTAATCAAACCATGGAATTTTCAATTGCTTTTTTTTTTGCTTTTCAAAATTAGACAATGTACTCTGAAGTCTAAGGTGCATCTGATACAGGCCATGGTCTTTGCCATCACTTCTTATGCATCAGAGAGTTGGACAGTGACTAAGGAGGGTAGAAGGAGAATTGATGCCTTTGAGCTGTGGTGCTGGAGAAGAGTATAGAGGGTACCATGGACTGCTAGGAAAACAAGCAGATTCATCCTGGAAAGGGTTAAACCAGGAGGTTCCCTAGAGGCAAGGATTCTGAGGCTCCGTCTAATATACTTTGTACATGTTGTAAGGAGGGACTGGTCCTTGGAGAGGGACATTATGCTTGGTAGGGTGGAGGGACAGCGCAGGAGGGGAAGACCCTCTAGGAAGTGGATTGATTTCGTGACTGGGGTAATTGGGATGAGTATGTCAGAGACAATGAGATTGGCACAGGACAGAGCAAAGTTTAGGGCTGTTGTACATAGGGCCGCTATGAGTAGCAATCAACTCGACGACACATAACAACAACAACAACAATTCACATGACAGATGAATTGATGCCTTTGAATTGTACTGAATATCCCATGGACTGCCAAAAGAATAAACAAATCTGCCTTAGAAAATGTGCAACCAGACTCCTCTTTTAGAGATAATGATAAATTTTCATCTCATGTTCTTTATTAGTAAAGGCTATACATTGGGAAGATTATATATAGCTATCAGATTAAGGGCAGGACAATGGTAGATGGATGCTGAAGGGAGTGGGTAGAAGTGGATGCGTATCCTGGTGGATGGTGGAGCAGGGAAATAAGTGGGTAAAGACACGTGTGCTAAGGGTAGGGACAACACAACAAATGGTTAACTCCACAATAAGGGATATATCTTTCACTTTCCTGTAAAATTCTGGTCTGTCTAATACTTCTCTAAATCTGAACATTCAGATTAATACAGACTAGGAAGAAGGATAGGCCATCCACTTCTGAAATAGCAGGCCTCTGAAAACCCTATTTACAACAGAACACATGTAGATAACAGAAAGGGCAACTGAGGTTGAGCTTTCAGGTACGGAAATACAAAGGAAGAGGAACAGTTGTAAGCAGACAATAGTAATTGGGTCATGGAATGTGAGAACCATGAATATAGGAAAATTAGATATTGTTAAGGAAGAAATGGAATGCATAAATATTGACATACTAGGCATTGGTGAGAT